CCCCCCCCCCCACGGTTCGACTCCCAGCAGCGCCGTGTAGCGGGGGTTGGTTGAACGTGTGAACGTGGTTGGTTGGGTGTAAACGGTGGCTTGGTGTAAACGGTGCTGCTGCTGCCGCTCTGCTGCTTGCTGCTGCTGTTTGCTGCTGCCGCTGGTTGCCGCTTTTGTAGCTGCTGCTTTGCTACTTGTTGCGGCTTGGTGCCGCTGCTGCTGTTGCTGACGCCGCCGCTGCTGCTGCTGCTGCTTGCTGCTGCTGCTGCTTGCTGCTTGCTGCTTGCTGCTTGCTGCTGGTGGTGGTGCTGCTTGGTGCTGCGCTGCTGCTGCGTGGTGCCACTGGCTGGCTGCTGGTTGGTGGTTGCTGCTGGCTGCTGGCTGCTGGCTGCTGCTTGCTGCATAGGCCTTGTACTTCACTGCTACAAGTTCTTTACCCTATTTCTAGCCTAATGCATGCATAAGCGGGGGGTAAATTTACCCCCCAGGTTTGCCATAACCATAAGCCGGCTATTTCCTCAAGACACTCTACTCCTTATACCTTTTACCAGTGCTTATCCTACACTACGGACGCCCTAGTGTATGCACAGTCCTTGTGATGCCAAAAATGCTTACCCCTTTTTCCGGCACAAGGCATACATAAGCGGGGGGTAAATTTACTCCCCAGAATTGCAATAACCATAAGCCGGCTATTTCCTCAAGACACTCTATTCCATATACCTTTTACCAGAGCTTCTCCTACACTACGGACGCCCTAGTGTATGTACAGTCCGTGTGATGGCAGAAATGCTTTACCCCTCTTTCAGACTCAAGGCATACAAAAGCGGGGGGTCAATTTACCCCCCAGATTTGCCGATCACGCATCTTCGTGCCTGCCAACGAGTGCACCCGTGTTGTTCCAATGTACCCTTCCCACTCGGCGATGTCACATTTACATTCTTTAGCGCAAAGTGTGTACGTAGCAACCTTTCTCCCAAAAATTCCCAAAACATGTAATCACTACATGCTTTGCCGACTATGTAACTAGTACATCCGGTGCGATTCGGCTAGCTTTCGACCTCCTCCCCCTGGCCTCAAGTTTTGTAGAGCCACATCCATGCTTTTCATTTTTGGAGTGGCAAGCAGGAAGAGTTGGCTAAGTTGGAGCAACAGCGAGTCGAAGAGGCGGAGTCACAAAAAAACCACTTAGCTGAAGGCTTATCAACATCAGATGTGTCAGATGTGTCAGATCAGTGTCATTATTTGGAATATTGGCCAGCATTCAGCGCAGGAGCAGGCCATAGCCAAAAAAGCTGCGGCAGTTGCACGCCGGGAGGAATTGCAACGAGAAGCTGAAGCTGCTGCAGTGGCTGAAACAAGGCGCCTTCAGGCAGGGATTCTGAGAGAGCAAGTGTAGATGTGGCAGCGGCAGATCTGGGATCAGAAAAGGATTGTGTCGCACAAAGTGGCATGGGGTGTTGTGCAGATTGCATACCTTGGCATCGCGAGGCCGAGCATGAAAGCTTGGATGCCCAAGCCCGGCTTGAGCGGCACGAGGCAGCAGAGCGAACGAGGAAAGCCAAGAAAGCGGCAGCCAAAGAAGCCAAGTTGATGTCACTAAGCAATAGATGTAGGACGGCTTTTGTTGTGTAAGGGCTACTCCATTCAGCTTTAGGCATTTGGGCCTAGATGTCGGCCCACAATTTCCCTATTTACGAATTATATCATTATATAATTTTTAGAAATTAGAGGTTCAATTCATATCAACTCATGCTTTAACTAGATTTCATTTTCGACCAACTTGGAGGCTGGCTGTTGGCCATGATTGGAGATTCTGGAAACACCAATGGGGGCGACTGAGGCGCAAGAAGCGGAGGATGCTCGCCTTGGACAGCGATGAGTCTGGCAGTGAGGCAGGGCAGTTGGTGTTTGAGCCAAGTTGATCCAGACTGAACTTCAAAAAAATACCTTCCGGAGTCTCAAAGACAACTTTGTTTGTTCAGACATGTGGCTGAGAAAGAGCGTGTCATGGGATGTCATGTGCAGGCCGAGAAAGAGCGAGGAACTTGGAACAGCAACAATCCGGATATTCGGTTCCTTTCTATTCAAGGAAGGGCGGACGAGTCGCGGCGGAGTCTTGTTTTGTCGAGGCTGCGTCGGCCAGTTGTACTAAATGGGTTCTTTGTACTTATGTTTGGGTTACAGAGAGGTTGCCGCTCGACAAGGACTGGTGGTGTGTTGGAATAGTTGAAATTTTGAATATGGAAAAGCATGGACAGCATCACACAAAACCCTAAACAAAAGAGCACCGGTTGCTCTTTTGACAGGTGAACATGTCACCTTTAAGTCTGACCAGTTTGCAGACCACTGCGTGGCCCTGACGCGGCGACCGATGTTCTATGGCAGACATTTCTACGAGTTCCACATCCATCACTTCAGTTGCTGGGTGTTGCAAATGCTTGGAGAACCTTGGGGCAACATCCTGGGGCTCATCCACCACAAACAACATCCTTGAAACTTGAAACTAGACCTGTCCATCCTGTGGCAAAACCAAGGTGATCAACTCAGATGTGGTGTGACAACGGATGCCATTCAGGTCAGCTCATTGTGAGACACTGTGGATGTCATGCGTCGTCGCAGCATACTATGGCTGTAGGCTGGTGCACAGGTAGCCGGGCACAATTTGCGAGGCTGGTGCTGGGATCCCCAGTGTTTGTGCTGGGATCCCCAAAGACTTGGTTGTTTGGAGATCCACGTTTCTTGCACGATGGGCGCTACTAGTAACAAGTGCCTTACTAGTAGTAACAGGTGCCTTACTAGTAGTAACAAGAAGCTATTAATTTAGTTTAAGTTTAAATTTAAGACTCTTCACCGAATGAGAGAGTTCCTTGGTCATTTCGCCCTTTCTGAAAGTGCAAATCACTGAAGGCTACTACTCTGGTCAGATGAATCCGAGCCGAAAGGCCTTGAGTGCTGGACTACAGATCAACAACAAGGAGACACACCATGTAACAGCCTTGCCACTACTTTTGAATCCTTGGCATTCCTTGGCCCAGTCAACCTGCTAGTCCATGACGGTCCTTTGCCCTGCAGGTGGTGCAGGATTTCACGTTTATGACAGCTGGGGACGCTATTGGAGTCATAGTTGACGCTGTCTCTCAGCCGAAGCAACTATGAAATGATTCATTAAGGATTCAATCGAGAACCCATGCACATGTTTCAATGATATTTGTGCTTGCATGGTGATGTCTGGTTGAGGACCGATGGTCGGTGGCCTTCTTGCGAAATCGCGTTCTGCAGGGCAGCTGTGCCATGGCATCTCCCACACGGGAACCGTACCTTGACTTGGTTTGGACATGTTTGGACAAGTAACACTGTCTATGCAATGTGTTCCGGATGGTTTCAGAATGTTTCAGATTTGTTTAGCGTTTCACCCTTGTCACTCGGATATCTCGGAGCAAGCTTCCATGATATTCTGGCTGCTGGTTCTACTATGGCTGAACAACACGGCATATACAGTACCTGTATTATGCACAGTTTTAGCACGCAGATTTGACACAGCTCACAGCCTTTTCTCATTTTTTCTCCAGCCCTGGACCCCCCGATGGACACAGGCTCTTCTTGTTGGTCCATTTGGACGCAGCTGCAGACCATGTGGAGCTGCGCAAAGTTTCTTTGGAAGAAGCACCTCCAAAAGCCTTGGAAGAGTTGGATTCCTTCACCCCGCCCTCCTGGTCTATCCTGGTGAGCGACTGCTCCAGTGTTGAAAGTGAAGCACCGATCAGTCGGGGATCCCGGCTCTGACATGACAAACACGGCAAATTAGCCTCGTGTGCTCAGAAGCAATTGTTCTCATTCTCATCCTCGCGGATGCGGATGAATTTGTAAGTTTACACGATTTCAACAGATGGGGAATCCACAATAAAGAACACCTCATCAACTTTTACTCAGCACTTCAATCACAGAGCATACATCACAGGACGCTCCTTCCGGTAACTGTTTGAATCCCTTCTCAGAGCATCTATGGGTCAAGGCAGGGCTAGCCTGTCCAAAACCATGAGCAGTATCTATGAGAAGTCATTTCGGGCATCTTGGGAAGGATTGTGAATTTGTTCACGGTGTCATTGGTCGTTCGCGGGATGCCATTTCTTGTGAGGCAAGGAGCACCCCTGGGCGTCCCCGATCGAGCCCGCTTCGGTGAAGTCGAGCGGCCCACCTCGGCGTCCGTTGAGTCAGGGCCCCTCGAAAGCAACTCACCGTGCGCAAGGAAGCACGGTGGAGCCGTTGCCTGGATTCACCGGGCCCAAGGGCACGTTGAGGTCATCGAAATCCAGCAGTGCCTTGGAAAGGGCGGGAGCTGTGCGCATGCAGAAGAGACCCTCGTCCTCGTCCCTCCTGGCAGCGGGAGCCGTTCTGTCAAGGCCGCAGAGTGCAGAGAAAGTCGAGAAAGCCAAGTCAGAGAGCCCAAAGAAGACACTTCGACCACGTGAGCCTCAGCGAAGTGAGCTGGCATTGACAGCGGCAACTTCAAGCCACCAAAGTTTCGTGGAGCAGACTTTCCTTCATCCTCAACGTCCAGATCATCCTGATCGTTCTGTGGAGCCTCAAAGCTTGGAGCCAGGTGCAGCGAGCACTTTGAGCTTAAAGGCTCGGCTGAGAGAATTGAAAGAATGCTTCGACGAAGGCCTCCTTACGCAGGAGGAATTTCAACAGGAGACGCTGCAGTGGGTGAAGTTGCACGACATGTTGTGAAGCAATGAGTTCAAAGTGAAAAGACCTCAATTGCCACAGCGACTCCAGATTAATAAACCTTCCCCCCCAGAAGGATGAGAAAGTGTAGAACGCTGGGGGCCCAAATAATATGGAACCACCCACTCCCTGTTGATCTGGAGGGCAAATCCCAAAGACTTTATATGGGAGTTGATCGAAAACCCCGTGTAAGGAGTTTTATATAAACAGCCTTTCAGATGTTGTTAGAACCATCCGCGAAAGATTCGCGATGAGGTTTGCGAAAGTATCTTTTTCCCGAAAGCATTGCGAAGGGTTCTTCCGGAAAATCCTTTGAACACTTACACTTCGACACTTACACTTACACACACACACACACACTGGAAGAGCGAAAGCATCCAAGTGCGAAGTATGCCAGTGTCAAAGTATGCAAGTGTAAGTATGCAAGCATGATATGCAAGGGTGAGTATGCAAGCACGCAATGAGTATACAAGCATGCAATGAGTAGGCAAGTGTGAGTATGGAAAACTAGCACGGGAGATGTCCTAATGAAAAAACATTTCCCCACTTTATAAATTCTCTCTTAAAGGCGGAGTGCGGGACGAACAGCGTCAACCGAAAGTGCAACCCTCTGCGGAGATCGTGCGTGTCGAGTGCGCGAAATGCAGGCGAGAGTGCGATTTGTCCGGTGCGCGCGCAACCCTCTGCGGAGATCGGGCGTGTCGAATGCGCGAAATGCAGGCGAGAGTGCGATTTGTCCGGTGTGCGCGCAACCCTCTGCGGAGATCGTGCGTGTCGAGTGCGCGAAATGCAGGCGAGAGTGCGATTTGCCGGCTGCGCGCGCAACCCTCTGCGGAGATCGTGCGTGTCGAGTGCGGGAAATGCAGGCGAGAGTGCGATTTGCCGGGTGTGCGCGCGACCCTCTGCGGAGATCGGGCGTGTCGAGTGCGCGAAATGCAGGCGAGAGTGCGATTTGCCGGGTGTGCGCGCAACCCTCTGCGGAGATCGTGCGTGTCGAGTGCGCGAAATGCAGGCGAGAGTGCGATTTGCCGGCTGCCCGCGCAACCCTCTGCGGAGATCGTGCGTGTCGAGTGCGCGAAATGCAGGCGAGAGTGCGATTCGCCGGGTGTCCGCGCAACCCTCTGCGGAGATCGTGCGTGTCGAGTGCGCGAAACGGCCCACGACCAGACTGGCTACCACGACCAGACTGGCAGGTTTGTTCAGCGGCTACCACGACCAGACTGGCAGGTTTGTTCAAGTGGACCCCCCGCTCCGCATCCCACTGGCGGACGTGTCACCAGATGACACCCTCGACGCCGCCCAGTTGGCTCAGATGGTCGCCGCCGTGTCTCCGGAGCGGACAACGCAGTGAGAGTCTCCCCGACGCAGGGTGTCACCTAGATGTTCACATGGTAACTGCATGTCTCATACCACGACTTCTTCCTTACAAATCCTGTGTGGACGTCGTTTTGCGGAAGCACGACAAGTATAGACATAGTGTCGGGGAGTCTCTGCCCTATACAAGGGCTAGTCGCGAGCTGAACGACCAGAGCATACGAAAACATGCGCAGTGCCTGCTATGTGTCACCTCGTGCTACTTTGTTGCATGTTTCTGTGGGAGAGGCGATTGGAAAATGAGCAGCATAGTGGTTCTCAACTACATCTAGAGCGAAGCACATGTCACCCTCAGAGCGCCTGTGCCAACAGACTGTGCGTTTTCCGTGACTGACCTTTCAGGGCTCACAGTGGCATTGCAGAAGTCTCCATACAACTTGGGCCAACTACCACAATATCAACTCAACAGCAATGAAGAATATACTAGCAAGAAGTTTGAACGCGCCCCACAAGCTTTTGCAATATTCATTTCCCACATAAACCTTTACCAGGCAAACCGAGCCTTCTTATGGCTATGCATGCGCTATTTACTACTTTACAGCCCACTAGCTCGTAGGTCTCCCTCTTTGCCCAGCCATCATGCCAGGGAACCTTGGCATTGTTGACGACCACTTCTTCAGCGTCAACCAGGATGACCAGAGACAGGTGTGCCTCTGTTGGTCCTATGGAAGCAGGACATACCATGACGACCAGCCAGAGCTCATCCATGAAAGATGGCCAAACCAGTCCATAGCAACCAGATGCTGGGTTGCCCATGGAGAAACCTGGCAGTTTTGGCGAGTGGTCCAGTGGTCCAGTGGATGGGAAGACTGGGTTAGGAACAACGGCCGCAACTTCACAGATGCCTACACCATCCAGATCTGCTTCGGGGGGACGCGCTAGACCCAACCAACTGTGTGTCTCATACCGTGACTTCTTCCTGATATATTCTGTGTGGACATCGTTCTGCGGAAGCACAACGCTATCCTTGCTGTGTACAAAGACTAGTCGCGAGCCGAACAACGAGAGTGCGCTAAAACATCTACAGTGCCTGCTGTGTGTCACTTCACGCTACTTTGTCGCGTTTTTCTCTGAGACAGTCAATTTCTCTGAGACAGTCAATTACTCAATGACAAGCAAAGTGGTTGGTTATACTAAAACATCTACTCAACAGCAGTGACGAATATACTTGGAAGAAGGTTCACGCAACCCACAAGCTTTTGCAATCGCACATGAACCAGAGCCTTCTTATTCCTCTTTGCCCAGCCATCATGCCAGGGAACCTTGGCATTGTTGACGACCACTTCTTCAGCGTCAACCAGGATGACCAGAGGCAGATGATTCACACGTTATTGTTCAGTCTGCAGTGCGGCATGTGGTGATGCAATTGTTGAGATGGCAAAGCCAGCACGCTGGCTAGCATCATAGTCGAAGTGGGTAAGCCAGCACGCTGGCTGCCATTGTCCAGATGGCAGAGCCAGCACGCTGGCTGCCATCATAGTTGCAGTGGGTATGAGCCAGCACGCTGGCTACCATCCTAATTGAAGTGGGTAAGCCAGCACGCTGGCTGCCATTGTTGAGATGGCAAAGCCAGCACGCTGGCTGCCATCATAGTTGAAGTGGGTAAGCCAGCACGCTGGCTGCCATTGTCCAGATGGCAAAGCCAGCACGCTGGCTGCCATCATAGTTGAAGTGGGTAAGCCAGCACGCTGGCTGCCATTGTCCCCTTACCAGCAGCCCAAATGCTCACGACGATGAGCTGGGCTGTCACCGCTTGGCCGCCGGTGGGGGGTTTGGGAGGCCGCATCGCACACAAACACCCACACACTCCCTCAACTTCCACGAACACACACATACGCAGACTCGTTTCCACACGGACATAGACACACGCACAGAAACCCACACACTACCTCAACTCACTCGACTTAACACTTCTCACTACACACTTACCGGATAACTCGCACTCTGATTTCCTACGTGATGAAAAATGCTTTCGGGCCACTCGTCGTCTAGTTTTTTTCGCGAAAGATTTATCGAAGGTCATCGCTTTCATTGTTTTCCTTTCTACCGGACTGACAAAGAATAGAAACGCAAGGCAATCCTCCGGCAGAGCCAGTTGGCGGAAGTGTCCCCATATGTCACAAACTTTCGAACTGAAGCCTCAAGATTTCTGTGCCCAGCCCGCCCTGGCAGTGCGTAAAGGACTCTCCGATTCCTGTCCCCACTGTCACAGACTAGCAATCTGGGTAGGCGCAGCCCTGACAGTGAGGCAACGACCTGCAGCTGCTCTGACGGGCTGTGCAGATGTTTGCAATTACGGCTCCCCGGGGAAAGCACCAGTGAAATTTCGCGAAAGATCCGCGAAAGTTTCGCGAATGTGCCGCTAAGTCTAGGTTCGCAGCTTGAGGCCCCCCAACATTCCCCAAGCTGCATCACCCTGTGTTGGTACAGTAGCTGGCACGAGGATTGGGTTGAGTTGTGCCTGATTCTATTTGGCACAATTGCCACACAGATGCTGCAAGTGACCCTGAGTAGCTGTGGAAACGTTCAACCATCTACTGGGGTCATGCTGCAAGATGTCTCTCCCTATTTTGTGATACTAGGATACTAGCACAGGTTCCGGCTCATGTTCGCTAGACATGGTTGTAGGACCATGCTTCGCGATGAGGCCGCGAAAGATCCGCGAAAGATACTTTTTCCGCAATGAATGGCCATTCCAGGATGAACGAATATGGATCAACCACCATCTGTATTGTATAATGCCTTCACGTGCAGGAGTCCCAAGATTTCGTCTTCATGAGAACAGAAGACGATTCAGAAATTAGCTCCGATTCAGAAACTACGACTCAGAAACTACAGTGGGTGTCCCGACTCAGAAACTCACCTGCTGCAGGGTGGGGTGGTGGGGTGGGGTGATGTTGACGTTCGTTTGAAGTTGCAAGCGAACAATGGGGAATGGGTGGGGTGGGTCTCTGGATGTCGGCTTGCAGCCCAATTTGTCCCACAAGAGCGATGTGCAATTCAGTGAAACAAGGGGGCTTTTGTGACACGCACATACCGTGAGCCAATGCTCTTGGCGCGGGTGTTGTTTGAAAGCATTGTGAAGAGCATCGCATGTCAACTATCTTAAGCGGGAGGCTTTCTGAATCGGGCCGTTCTCCCCGTTTCTGAATCCTAGTGTCCGAACCCGTGCTCCTCCCTAGTTTCCGAATCCGCGGCTCTAGTTTACGAATCCGCCGTTGAAACATCACGAGACAGATGGGTCAAATGAATTGGGAGGTTCAGGGTACCACAAGTAGCACTTATTACAAATTGACCAGAAATTGTGTTTTCGAAAGGTGGCTGGCATTATTGCAGAGAAAGATTACAATATAATATATACTTGTATAGGCCAAATGAAATAGCTGAATCAATAGGTGGGGGTTCCTGACCTGGAGTTCACATTTGCAGTTGTCTTAAAGCCCCCATGGCTGCAGGAGAAAGCCATCGTTCTGAAGGCCATGCGACCAGGTGCCCCCCAGCCTCCAGCTGCTGCAGCCCAACCCTGTGCGGCTGCCCAGGGCAGTGCCCAAACCACTGCCCACCCACCTGCGTCAACCCAGCGGATCTTGCCGCCAGTCACTGTTGGTGCGACCGAAGCGTCTCGGCCAACGACTGGGGTCCCGAACGTCCCGGCTTCCCTCCTTGGTACATCTTTCAGTGCGCCTTGGGTGCAGAGGGACGTCACGTCACACTACGCCGAAGGCCGGGTGATGGCACACAGTTTGGAACGTTTGGGAAGGTTTCCAGTTCGTTCGGGAAGGGTGGGGATGGGTTTTGCACTTATTTTCTGTAGAGTTTGGAGCATTTCCATGGACAGGCTGGAGCGATCAATCTTCCATGACCCTTTCTGACGTCCAAGGGCGCAGCGGCTTTGCTGCTTTGCTGGACCACTGCGCAGCGGCTTTCGAAGAAAAATGGCGGTCTGTGGTGCAACCAGGTGAGAGAGGATCGATGATTGGCAAGATTTGCCATACTTTGCCATATACTTGCCATACTTTGCCATATACTTTGCCATCAAAACTTATACTGCATATACGGTTATACGGTATATATATATATATTCGGGGATGGAGCCCCAACAGTTCACCATGTAGCTTGACCTTCCAGCTAGGTCAGGTCATCCAAGGTATCCTAGTTTTGACCCACAGCCATATCTGAGTTGTATGCCATTGTGGAGATTGTGCAGCTTTGTGCCTTCCATTTAGGCCCAATCAAGTTCATGCATTTATTCTAATGCTAAACGTCGTATATACATGGTTTCAACCAAAAAAAGTAGCAACTGCCAAGACTCCAACAACATCACCTTCATGCTCACTTCCCGTCTATTTGTAAATTGTGGGTCGACAGTAACCAAACATCAATTGCCTAGATGGTTTTAAGAAGCCAAGCCCAACCAGCCTGTGTGAAGAGGACAAGTTGAAAAAAGCAAAACGTCTTGCAAATTAACACGCAAGTGATTGACAACCGCTCCAGAGACTAGAGGATGGCTAACTGGAGAGCTCTGGAGGCCGACCATTCAGGAGTGCACCAGAGTGCTCCCCAAACAGATTCACAAGACATGCATTCACAATGACCTGTGTGAAGAATAGCCGCTGAATGATATCAGTAGAGTTAGATGGCCTGACGGTAAGAATTCTACAAATACACACATACTGTGAAAAACATATATGCATACATTACAGTATTACAGTAACTGCAGGGAGGTGGCTGCAAGGCCCAGAGAAAGTTGATGTTTGGAAAGAAGTGGCTCCAACACTTTACACTGATTGTGATGCAATACACCATCTTGCTCCGAGGCACAAACATGATACCTGTTTCAAGCAGCAACAACGAATTTCGCTGCTCGATCTTGGGCATAGTTGTAGTTTTAACTGGTTACAGTAATCCCATTGATTTGTCCCAAGAGTGCTTGACCATGCTGACCACTTGGCTTACCAAGCATGTTCTTCAAGACTTATATAAGGTGGTGGGTGGGTGTGGTGGTGGCGGCGGCGGTGGTGGTCGCACTTCACCAGACCCCAATACTTAATTATGAGAGTCTTCTCAATTTGTTCAGAAGCAACCCTCGTTGACATTCTCGAAAGGAAAGGTTTTGGAACAGTGCGCGGAGAGAATCAGTTGGAGAAGAGATCCCCTGTCAATGGTATAATCACACAATTGCATTACTGTATTACTATTACAGTCCAACATCGCAGCAAGTAAGACAAGAAAACGAACTCGCACATCTCAACAGAGAACGTGGGTTTTGCAAAGTAAACGACTTAAGAAATTCAGAAAGGAGCAGCATTGACTTGTACCTCACGCCCATGCCTTTATATTAAAGCTGAGACTGCTGGGACCAAGGTTCGAAAGTCTTGAAATCTATCTTGGACACAGCTCCAGTTATCGTCGCACTGTGTAGTAGTCTTCAACATGACTTTGCACAGGGAGTGTGTAGCATGAACACTTCATTTGGATTGAGGTGTTGGGGCGGGCAGGGACTTCTTCAGCGAGGGGATCCGAGGGGGTTGGGCGCTCAGAATTTTGAATCTAGCCTTCGAGTTTAGTTTTGCTGTATGATGTCGCTACCTACGGGCAGCCGTGTGGTACATGTGACATTGTGTCGCAGTTTCGAAACGAGTGGCTTGATGATGACTGCTTGCTTGGCCTTTTGCTAAACGATGTGTTGACCACACTGTGAAACTTGATCGGTGAAGTGCAGAGTGGCTTGAGCCTAGACTAGTTTCTGAGAGTTTTGGTAATGTATGTTTTAATCACCTCGAGGTTTGGTGCCTGTGCCTGTAGCCTGTACCCCACGTTTTTTGAAACAAGACGTTCGATTGAGCTCTAAGGAATTCGCAGTCTATATATAACTGTTTCCTTTCTTTGCTTGCATGCTTGCTCCAAGAGTGATGCGTTCTGGAGGAGCTTTG